TGTACAGCAAGCAAAATATTTCTTCCCCAGCAGACAACCAGCATTCACTAGCATTTGCATATCAAACAAACTGCAAAAGCTTATTTGGCCAGTGAGGAAAAAAGGAAAGGAATTAATGTGCCAGGCACAGAGCTTGAGAATGGATGAGATTTTAAAAAATACAGAAGACAAAGTTCCTTCCTTCCAGGAGCTTCCAGACCACTTGGAGAAAGGCAATTGTCCAAATAGTCAATATTCGATTTGTTGGCTCTTCTTATGGACAGGGCATTGGACTTTTCTTTAGGTGAAAAATGGTGAACAAAAACAGCTCTGTTACTTACTTCATGTCTAACGAGGGGTGAGAAAGAGACATCAATCAAATAATCCCATGCGCATAATAATAGCCATCACTTATATAGTGGTTAGTATGTGCCAGGCATGCTCTTAGTACTTTACATAAATTAATGAAATCACACTCTACTAGGTATTCTTACTATTTTCATTTTATTGATAAGGAAATCGAGGCATAGAGAGGTTAAGAAACTTGCCTAAGTTCATACACCTGGACCAGGCAGTCTGACACCAGGGTCTACTTTTTACCCACCCACTATACTGCCTCCATGTTGTGCTGTATGGCATAAACATATCTGCAAATATAAGTGCCATTGAAGGGAAGGCAGGTGGTGCTATAAGAATGCATAACAAGGACTTCTCACCTTGTCTAAGGGGATAACTGAAGGCTGAGTGGGTGTTAACCAAACAAAGAGGGGAAGGAGAAGGGAGACAGACGCAAAGCTGGTAACAAAAGAAGAGAAAATATGGAGCCAGTAGCACCCTGGATGCAGCAGTTCATTGATGGAGGTGAGGAGAGCAGCCTGTGGGGAAAGCAATCCAGGAAGGTTTCAGTGAAGAGGCAGATCTGGAGGAGGCAAACCTTGAAAGACTGGGTTAGAGGGCACAAAAGAGAAGAAAGGGAAACACCAAGAATTCAGAATGAATTTACAATGAACCTAATGAATTTAAGGGACAGGGAGACACTGGCACATTAGGGTTTTTTCAGTTGTGAGTAGCAGACACCTAATTTGAACTGGCCATAGAAAACAGACTTCACTGGCTTGAGTTACTGAAAAGTCCAGGATTTAAATCTGGTGGAAAGTGGATAAATGATGTTAGGATCTCTCTTCTATTCCTCAGCTCCATTTTCCTGTGTTGGCTTCATTCTCAGGCAGTGGAAAGATGCATTTCTAGATTTATATCCTATCAGCTCAGCAAACTCAGTAAGGGGAGCATTTCTTTCCGAAAAATCCCAGAGCTGACTCTCATTGGCTCAGCTTTAATTGCATCTTCTTTGTTGAACCAGTCATTATGGCTGGGTCACGAGGCACTCTTATTGGCCACGCCTGGATCATGTGCCTTCCTCTGGAGCCATGTGGGTAGGTTAGCCACACCTGAACCCTAGGGTCTGAGAATGGAAGAGAGAAAGTTCCCCAAAGTAGAATTCAGGAGCTGTTACTAAAAGGAAGTGGATGCTGGGCAGGCAAAAACACAAAATTTTGCCACAAGTGGTAGGCTGGAGCAGTGCTCTTGACACTTTATGCAGAGTCTGATTTACTAGGTTTAGGGTGGGAACTGAGGGTCCTTACTGTAACAACCCCCCAGGTGATGCCAGTGCTGCTGGTATAGCAAGGGACACACTATGTGGAGTGACTGCCTCCTTCAAATTCATTTAGGCTATTTGGTGTCAGCCTCTATTCCATCCTTCCATTTGCCTGCATTTCCCAGCTCTGTCTCTCTATACCTTCCTACTAGCTGGTCTCTGTATGTGGAACACTTTTCCTCAAAGTTCTCACATCAGCTTGTCAGCATTTTCAAGATTTTACCTCTTATCAACTCTAAGTAATGTTTCCTTGCTGAGTGAAGCTAGGGTTACCATTATTCTTCTCCAACCCAAGCCTTTTCCAATTTAGACCTGTGAATACCAACCTGTGGAAGTGTAAAAAATATTAATCATTCATGAGTCTGACAAGCTCTGCCATGTTCAATTGATTTGTTGAGTATGTAATTCACTGCCTGAGTTTAAATCTGGATGTCTGTCTATATAGAACACTTTGGTTTTAGGCTATGGGCTATTATAAAGCATGCAAAAGATCCTTTTAACTTGCTGATAAGGCACTCGGTAATCGGATGCTGTTTAGTTTTCATTATGTCAACGATGTTTTCAATCCTCTGGATTTTGCAATCCATGTGCCAGTGTTGGCAGAAATACTGAACTCTATTCCATAAGAGAGTATAAAATTTCCATATCATTTAAAGCTTTGGAATAATGCCTTTATAGTGGAACTTCTGTGAAAGAAAGTCCTGAGTTTCAGCTTTGAGATTGCTCTTGAATTTGTTTTGTGACATTCCTCAAATCTAAACTTTTCTGGGTCTCAGTGCCTCCACTGGTCGTAGTTCAGGTGTTTCCCTGTCTTCTCCTCCCTTCACGTGCCTGACCCAGGTTTAGCACACCAGCTTCATCTGTAGCATTTGGCTAACAGGATCTGGGTAGGAAACTTGATCCTCTAGGTCTTATGTTACTGATCTGCAAAAAAGAGATAATTATAGCATCTACCACTTGATAGAGTTATGGTGGTGATTGAAGGAGATCATGAATGTAAAAGATCATCATGACTGACAGTGGTAAGAAATCAAACTTAGCTATCATCAGTATCAGGGCGTGCTTGGAAATAAGATTTAAGTAAAATGACTTAACATAAGCGAGAATATTATTCCTCGTGTATATCAAAAAATACAGTGCCAATATGACCCCCAAAACCTTCAGTCAGCAGTTGTTTGCTTCTGTTTCCACCTCAGGTCCTGGCGATATTAACACGTAAGGGCGGTCAGACCTTATGTGCATAACACTATTTTTCCCCACTACATTACCCTTGGGTAGATAAAAGCTATCTTCAATTATATTAATTTCTCTTCCAATTCAGTTTGTCATTAAATATATTGGCCTAAGAATTTATCAAGCGTTTCACTTGTACTACTCTGCTGAAAGTATCGAATTGCAACCTTGTATGTAGAATTGTTTCACGTGAACATGTCTGCTCAGTGGTGCACACAGACTGGCACTTTGGGCCAGCAGCCACGACCTTTATTCAGGAAATCTGTATAGGCCGATGCAGCACCCATCTCAAAAAGTACAAGTTAGGTGTTTCTGAGAGGGGTATGTTTTCCTGGAAGGTGCGAAGTTTTGTTCTCATTCATTCTTCTCCTCGGACAGTCCCTAGTCTCTGCCCAGAACCGGGACTTCTTTGTGCCTGCTAATGTCACAAATTGCTTGAGCGCGCCGTTTCTGGCCTCCGCCCGGCGCACTGTCCCAGGCAGCAGGCCCGAGGTCGACGAGGGCTTTCCGAGCACTCCCACTTCCTGATCCCATTTACTTCTGGGTCCCCGTCAGTGCCATCTGGCAGGAACCCCCGGGGAGAAACTAAAGATTGGACGTAGCCACCTCTACCTCTCGTCTTCTCCACTCCCCCCAAGAATAGAAACCCAGGGCTGTGGGGGGAGGTGCGGGGTGGGAGTAAGCGAAAGACGAAAAGCGAAGACGGAAAGCGGCCCCGTGTCCCCAGCCGCCCCCTCCGCGGCGTCGATGCTCCGAGCCGGGGCGCCCGCCCCCGCACCCCGCGGTCGGCCCACGCCCAACGCCCGGCGCCGTCCCTGGTGTCCCCTCGGCACCACGGGCCCCGAGGGGGCCCCCGCCGCACGG